ATGCCTCAAAATACCTCAAAAGCACAGAGACAAAATGAAACATTGGATCCCCTTCAGACAACGCAAAGATACAATGAGCAGTGTTGCAGGACCTTTGGAACAACCTCTACTGAGGTCTATTTCAGTGTCAGTAGACTATCGTGAACCAGCCCTCGGATTATTAGATGATAACTCAACCATAAGAGGAAGGAAGAAGTCCAAAATAGTCCGGGGATCAACGATAGTGGAGAGGCCATTGACAACATCTTATAATCAAGAGTGGCAAGACAATACACCAGATGAAAATGAAAGGAGATTACCAATAAGACACACACAGATCGAGGATGAAGATCTTTAAGTGAAATAAAAGTTTACAATGTATTGGTATGAAAAAAATGTACATGTTAGTAATTTAGTTAGTTTATTTGCTATACAATAATAATTATAATTGTATATCATTTTATTAAAAACTTGATTAGCTACTTGTTTGCTTCTTTGTTATGTGTGACATACAACATTGTGAATTGTGAAAATTTTAAAAGTATTATTGCATAAAATTATGATATTGATACCACTTGAAAAGTAAGAGAGATCAATTGTGGCAAGAAGAGGCAAAATTATTTACTTTCTCCTCCTCAAGCTGTTTCAGCTGCTGAATTTGTTTCTACAAGCCAAATTGACATAACAAAACACTAATGTATTATTGTGTTGAGATAGTATGCTAGATAAGCATATACTTGAGCCATATAAGGGAATGGATCAGTTTCTAAAGATAATTCATAACTATTGATGTGTGATGAATATTCTTAAAGGGTGTGTTTGTCAAGAAGAGATAATGGCACTTGTTATAGTACTCCTTCTTTTTGCCTTCTTTGTCAATGAGGCAGTTGAGGCTCAGGCTGAATGCAGCCAATCTGCCAGTCTAAGTGTATTCCTACTACAGTCAAGCTCTCCTATTGAAGCAGATGAGATCAATAACTTAACAGATATAAGGAATGGCTTGGGGTATGAAGAGGATGAGTCCTGCTGTCTTTATTATGTGGAAGATAATGAAGGGAACGATGTGAATGTAACAGCTTGTAAAGACACTGAAATTGACACAGCTCTGGATGCTATCAATACCACTGAATACTATCATCATGTACTGGTACTGGGCAATGAAGGAACCTCTTTAAACTACACACTTCATGAGATATGGAATGTTACTGGATGCTCGAATAATTATTACAAGTTATCAATCACATTAATTGGTAGAGGTAGTCCAACAATTAAGTTTCCAGAGATTTCTTTAAAGTCCATTAAAACAGTCAACATCACTAATGTGTCATTCATTGAGGGAATGATCAACCTAACAGACATTCAAAACATTCAACTTACATCAGTGACGATTCATAACTCACCATCAACTGGGTTACTAATAATGAAAGATGTATCTAACATCATTATTTCTAGCTGTAACTTTATTAACAACAGCCTCAATACCACTAGCTCTCAGGGAGGAGGATTAAGTATTATTAATGGCAGCGTATATAAAATAGTGCTTGAGGATTCGCAATTCACAGGCAACAAAGCTACAATTGGAGGGGGACTGGATATAAATGTAGAATACATCGATAGCTTAACTATATCAGGCTGCTCTTTTACTGATAACACTGCACATAGAGATGGGGGAGGCTTGTGGATCAATGCAGTATATAACAATAAATTTAACATAAGCAACACTAACTTCACTAGGAACATGGCCTCCAAGAATGGAGGAGGAGCATACATAGTAATACAAAACGTCTTTATAGATCCTGGTCAGCAGATCACTGGTTCTTTTTATAATGTTCAGTGGGTCTCAAACACAGCACCATCGTCTCCTGCAATGAAGCTAACAGCTCATGACAGCGGAAAGCTATCATCCAAAATCTCCAGTAATATATTCAAGTGGAATTCTGCTGGCCCAAAGCAATACTTAAGTGGCTCCACAACATGCTCTTTATATAGTGATGGGTTCAATGTAATACTGGAAGAAACTAATTTCATTAGTAACAAAGCTGCTGGTGTATGTGCACAGAGTGCCAAAATATCAATACCAACCAATGCACTGTTCTATAATAACACTGCTTATAAAGGAGCAGGGATACACTTAGACGGTGACTCATATTTGGAGCTAGGTCCTCACTCGTATCTAAACTTTACAAGGAACAGTGCTCTCTATGGAGCAGGAATTTACCAAAAGAGTGTCACCAAGAGTACTCTTGATGCGACTAGTACAATATGCTTCCTAAACAAGACACGAGACAGCTTCTTAAACGAGACACAAAATGAGGATCCGTTTCTCTTCTTTCAGGACAATATTGCAACTGTCAGTGGTAAGGCTATCTTTTTCAATGATCCAGATCCAGATAATAATCGATGTGAATTGGAGCTAGACAGTTTGAATATTGAATATGATGATGATGACAGTAAATATCAGCAAATAACATCATTGGCAATCAATATCTCATTCTCAGGCAATATAGAGGACAATAAAATAACACTGATACTTGGACAAAGGCTTGTACTCAATGCCAGTGTAACTGATTTATTCAATAATGAAATCTCTGCACTAGTCAGCATATTCTTACTACCATCAAACGCTAACTTCTTTGACAATATTAACTACAGTCTGGCCTACGAGACAACTTTCTTAATAGAGACTGGATATAATAGGCCTAACCTTCATGTA